GCCAATACCCTTAATATGTTAAAAGAAGACTTCACAATTTTAGAGTCTAAAACCAAGATAATAAAGATCAGGCTGAGAGTTTAGTACTTATCTACTTAATTGACATCTAAGCTACAAAGAAGTGGTGCTGAAATCAGCTGGGAGGCAATTAACTGCCATATAAATATAGATCACAGCCACAGCAAGTAAACAGAGAAGAAACGAGAGTTGCTTTAAAAAAAAACCCCACATATATATGTATGTATATATATATGTATATACATATATTTAACAAATCAGATTTTTATCATAACTGTTCTGTCATTAAATTCTTTTCCCATTGTTCAGTTTTCCTTACAGTAAAATTCAACCAAATATATATTTACCAGTATATATCTATAGAATAAATGGCAATATTGCATTTTCTCTGAAAATTATTTTCATTATATCTAGAGAAACAAAAGTAAAATTAACTGTGTGTTACTAACATAAATCCTTATGTTTTGGGTTTGGAAACATGCAGCAGGAAACAAGGGCTATATAGGGAGACCCTGTCTCAAAACAACAAAAGCTCATAATTCCTTAACCTTATTAAAGCTCTGACATAATTAACTAATAAGATTCAGAACAGAAACAGAAAAATAGATAAAAATATATAATCAAATAACACATAAAAATATAAAGATTAATTATGGAAAAAAATCAAATTTTATTCTACCGTTTTAGCACCCTTTTCACCAAAGTTCCAAAAGCTCTAAGCAAACAGCTAAACTGACTAATTTGAGTTTTACTTTTTTCTTCTGATCCTTAAAATATATCTAATACAAATGAAGAATATAGAACCTCTAACTGTTGTTATGAGGATTAGTTGAGCTAATATTTACTAAGTAGTTAGCACAGTATTCAGCACACAGCACACAATAAATGGACTACAATTATTGGTTAATAACCTTTTACTTCCATTGTACTTATTAATGACAACTTCTTAAATCACACATATTTTTATACTTTACAGAATTTATTTTCATTTCCAGTATTTCAGGGATGCCTATAAAATTTGGGTAAGAACACACAAAGGACAAAGTGATTTGTTGTTGAATAGAATATTTGTTTAACTATGTAAAGATGTGTTGCATTTGTTTGCATTGCAGAATAATTGTTCAACTAAGTAAAATGTGTTGGATTTGCTTATGCTGCATTTGTTTAACTATGTAAAGATGTGTTGCATTTGTTTTACCTTGCTTGCTTAAGGCACCTGATTGGTTTAAAAAAAGCTGGTCAACAGCTAGGCAGCAGATGGATAGGTGGGGCTGGCGGGTAGAGAGAATAAGCAGGAGGAGGAATCTAGGCTAGAGAGAGAATGAGGAAGAGAGGGAGTTGCCCAGGACCAGTCAGCCAGGCAGCTGCCAGACAGACACACACAGAGGAAGCGGGAAAGAAGGACATACAGAATGAAAGAAAGGTAAAAAGCCCTGAAGCAAAACACAGATGAAGAGAAACAGATTAAATGAAGTTATAAGAGCTAGTGGGACAATCCTAAACTAAGGCTGAGCATTCATAAGTAATATTAAGTCTCCATGTCATGATTTTTGGGGCTGGCAGACCAAGAAAGTCTGCTACAGTGATTCATCCAACAAATTCATTATCTCTGACTCTGGAAATAAAACATTTATCTTCTAGAGCAACTGTGTTTACTCTTTTTAAGTACAGCTCAAAGAATGAAGGTAGGTAGCACATACCTTTCTGGAATCTGCTACCTTAGTTTAAATTATTTTGAAATTTTGCTTTACTCAAATTTGCAATTTTCAGTATAGTCCTAACTACTTCCTTTCAATTTTCTGAAGTTTACTTTTACAATACAACAAAAAGTGTATTCATATTCTATATTCTTATTAAAACCCTGTTCTTTAGCACATGCCTTTATTCCCAGCACTTGGGAGACAGAGGCAGGCAGATCTCTGAGTTTAATGCCAGCTTGGTCTACAAAATGAGTTCCTGGATAGCCAAGGGATACACAGAGAAATCCTGTCTCGAAAATCCAAAAGGAAAAAAAATACCGTTCTTTATCGAACTCTATTATTACATATGAATGCTTTTCTAGTAAATACAGAAAGGACTCCCAGGCTTCAAAAATAAGACTAAAAGAAACTTAAGTACTTTTAATAGATATAAATAAAATATATATCAAACAAAAAGATTTATATTCCATAAGATGATCATAAAAGATAAGATATTTGACAGTGAAGTCTCATTTCCTAAATCTCCACAATCAAACTAATGTATTTTCCATATCTTCAAGGAGACAAAACATAATAGACATAAACAAATTACAATCTGTAATACACATTGAGCTACAGGGACCTGAGACAAAGAAGGACTCATCTTGCTTTGCTCAAAGGAAAAGAACAGAGCAACTGCTTGATTTATGGACCCAGGCCCCTCGAGTAGTGTTCTTTATAGAGGGAAAGGATCATTCTTAAATTTCTGCCATAACTAATAATAAAATATCATTCAAGACTTTCTAAGCTCCTTTTCTTTGATACTGATTACCACACAACCTTAGTCTGGTTAGTAACTTGGCTTCCTAAGTTCTTAGATACATGAAGAGTATGCTGGAGTTTTCAATCTGAAAATTCTGATCACCAGGAAGAGTTACCTTCTATTCCAACATAAACTGGCATTCTAATGTGTACATTCTAATGCACACATCAGTTTCCTGTTTCTTTTTGTGTGGATTGGGTCCCTCAAGTCTGAGCACATATGAATATAAGAATACATTTAAGCATTTTAGTTTGGAAATGGGAATCTAGCAAGTCCCAAGCCCCCCACCCCAGCCCGTGGTTTGTTTGTTTGTTTGTTTGTTTGTTTTCCGTAGTACTATGAATGTAATCCAGAACCTTGTATATGCTAGGCGAGTGCTCTACCAAGCCCCAGCCACCTCGCAAGCACTCTTTCTCACTGACAGGTGTTCCAACCATCTCTTGGTTTTCATTCCTATCCTTATTCTGCCTCTAAAAATAGAAAAGGGGTGGGGACAGCAGTGCTTCTGTTGCTGTTTTTCTACTAAAATAAACCATTTGCTAAACCAAACTTAGGTAGATCCACTCAGACATCAAAAGGATCACTGAAAGCCATGGCTGTAGCTCAGAGGCAGAGCATTTCCCTAGCTTAAGCAGAGTCCTGGGTTCGATGTCCAGCACAGTGAAAGAAAACAAAACAACACCAGCAAATAAACACAAAACAAAAGCTAATGAGGGCACTACCTAGGCTTTAAACCAACGCACAGGTGACATGGTCATACAGCCTCTAATGACTATATGACTACTCTTTTTCAAAAAAAAAAAAAAAGAAAACAGAAAAAAAATCTATGATATTTAAATTGTGCCATAATAAAAATTAATAGATAAAATTTCAACTTGCATCACCAGGAGTATCAATTTATTGTTATAAAGCACTTTGGCACATGTGACTCAATTATTCCAAGATTTCAAAAAGTAATATAGTGGGGTATGGTGGCTCACACCTTTAATCTCAGCACTTGGGAGGCAGAGGCAGGTGGATCTCTGAGTTCGAGGCCAGCCTGTTCTACAGAGCTAGTTCCAGGACAGCCAGGACTACACAGGGAAACCCTGTCTCAAAGAAGAAAAAAAAAAGGATTTCAAGAGATATCCCATTTGGTACTGCTTTGGCAGAAACACTTGCATTTGAACATAAACCCAGAACTTCAAATTATAACTCAGTCTTCAGTCTTTTCTCACTAGGTCACTGAAAAGTAATTTTTTTTTTTGGGGGGGGTTTTATGTGACCTGTTTTCTCTGTGTAACAGCCTTGGCTGTCCTGGAACTCGATTAGTAGTAGACCAGGCTGGCCTTAAACTCACTGAGCTCCATCTGCCTCTGCCTCCCGAGTGCTGGGATTAAAAGCGTGTGCCACCTCTGCCCAGATGTATTATTTCTTTAAAAAGTCTGCCCCCCCCCAAAAAAAAAATTCTGTCTTTAAACCTGGATTGGCAGTGCACACTTGTAATCTCAACATTCAAGACAGGAGAATCAAGAGTACAAGGCCATGCAAGGTTACACAGAGAAACCCTGTCTTGAAAAAGAAAAAAGAGAGAGTTAGTTCAAGGCCAACTTGGGCTACAAATAGCAATTATTTGTTTCAAATACAGAAACAAAAGTTGCTCTTTCATACCCAAAGCATTTGACCTTTCAGGAGATACTCTTAATTCTACTTATAGTTTCATTTACAAAGAGGAAAACACCCATCAGCCATCAAATTCTCAGTTAGCTTAAAATAATGTCTATCAACCCTAAATCCTCTGGGCAGAATTCTCTTAGGATGGTGATGCCAAGAACTTGCACCACCACTGAAATTGTCTAGCGATCTCCGTCTCCAGGAGACTGAAAGACTGCAGAGACGCTGGAGGATCCTACTGGGAGATAGGAGAAGTGCAGGTGGGGCGAAAGGGCTGAGTCCCACAGAGCAGCTACGTTAGAAAGATCTTAAGCACTTCGTCTAATGCATAGCGGTTAGCTACACACGGGGAAGTACAGATTCTGCACATCTTTAAAAAAATTTAGTCATGCGGACAATGAAGTGACAGAAACCTTTAACACTCCACAGCCAGCATTCGAGGAGAGGGAAAGGAAGCATGGAAGAGGAAGGCGGGACAAGGAAGGTCCCCAAAGACTAGGAATAATAATAATTTTAAAAAAGAAGAAGAAGAGGAGGAGGAGGAGGAGGAGGAAGAAGGAAGAAAAAAGGATAAAAGATAAAAGGACTCAGTCTGTAAGACTGACTTTGGTTGGGTTCTCCTGTACCGATGAGCAGTCAGCTGGAAGAAAGAATCTCATTCAGGATGGTAGAGAAGTAGAACGTTTACAATGGCAAGCAGCCCTGCAGAACATGTCGCCTGTGTGCCTGCTCCGGTACAGACATTTACCTCTTACTCTGGGTCATGTGCAACCGGGCAACACTCGGCCAAAGCTTGCACCATTGGATAATAGCAGAACGGAAAATACCTGAGTCCCAGGAATAACACCTGCAACGACAGGAGGAGGAGGAGCCACGGAAAACTGGAACCCGGACAAGAACCTCACTTGCGCTGCTCAAACCTCAACTCTTACGGGTGGGGCGGGAAACTTCCGCCCCGAGCAGGGACGCGTCATTTCCGTTTAAGGTCTTGACCCCCGCCTCACCACTCTGGCTACGTTCCAACAGTCCAACTTCCTCTTCCAGGAGTCTTCTGCCTGGGCATAACTCCCTACGTGGACTACATGACCCAGCATGCATCTCGGGATGTTAATTTCCGGGTCAAGAGGTCCGGGCTGGGTGCATCACCATGGAAGCGCTCGGTTTGGTCACGTGGTGGCCCTGGTTACGCCGGGTGGCGGCTGTGGGGTCCCGGGCTCAGGCGGGGGCCATTTTGCCGGAGGCTGGCTCCGGGAGTTGAAGGCCCGAGCGGCCTGGCAGCTGACCCGAGCCGTTCCTTCCCATCCTCTTGCACCTCGGGCCTTGGAGAGGAGCTGGAAGGCTGGGCCTCATCCAGCCCTCCCAAGACGGCGATGGTTCCCTCCAGCCGTCGCTACCTGACGACCCTCGATGGCGGCCGCGCCTTCCGAGCTGCTCCTGCCGCCGCCCCTTGCACCCCTTGGTTCCTATCGCCTCCTGAGCCGCGGTCGTCCTTCCGCCCCAGGGACTGATGGTCGTCGAGCCGGGGCCACGATGAGAGGCGAGAAAAACTACTACTGCCGTGGGGCGGCCGGGGATCACGGCTCCTGCCCCTCGACGCCGTCGCCTCTGACCTCGACCCTCCTGTTGCCGGCGGAGGCCGTCTCAAGTAGCTGGTCGGGGGGGCCTGGAAGTGGGCTGTCGGGAGGAGATGAGGAGGAGACTCGGCTCCTTCAACTCCTGCGCACCGCACCGGATCCTTCCGAGGCGTTCCAGGCTTTGCAGGCTGCCCTGCCGCGGCGGGGCGGCCGGCTTGGCTTTCCCCGCCGCAAGGAAGCCTTGTATCGGGCGCTGGGCCGAGTGCTTGTGGAGGGCGGTAGTGATGAGAAGAGGCTCTGCTTGCAGCTGCTGTCGGACGTCCTTCGGGGTCAGGGGGAGGCCGTTCAGCTGGAAGAGGCCTTTAGTTTAGCGCTTTTGCCTCAGCTAGTCGTCTCGTTACGAGAAGATAATCCAGCCCTCCGGAAAGATGCGCTGCAGATCCTGCATATTTGTCTGAGGCGAAGTTCTGGGCAGGTACTGAGAACGCTTATACAAGGCCTGGAAAGTCCAGATGCCCGGCTTAGAGCTTCCACTGCGCTCTTGCTCCCCATCTTGCTTACTCCCGAGGATTTGTTGCCGGGCTTGGATCTCACTGAAGTAATAATAGCTCTGGCCCGAAAACTTGGCGATCAAGAGATGGAAGAAGAATCTGAGACAGCATTCTCTACACTTCAACAAATTGGAGAACGACTTGGTCAAGAGAGGTTTCAGTCCTACATCTCTCGTCTGCCCTCTGCTTTGAGGAGGCACTACAATCGCCGCCTGGAGTCTCAGTTTGGGAATCAGGTTCCTTATTATTTGGAGCTTGAAGCCTCTGGGTTTTCTGAAGATCCTGCCCCTTGTGTAGTGACTCTTTCCAACAGCAATCTTAAATTTGGGATTATTCCTCAGGACCTGCATGCAAGATTGTTGGATCAGGAAGACTATAAGAACAGGACTCAGGCTGTCGAAGAACTAAAACAGTTGCTGGGAAAATTTAACCCAAGCTCTACCCCTCATTCTAGTCTTGTTGGTTTCATTAGCTTACTGTATAATTTGTTAGACGATTCCAATTTCAAAGTGGTCCATGGCACGCTACAAGTTCTGCATTTACTGGTCATTCGACTGGGAGAGCAGGTACAGCAGTACCTGGGACCAGTTATAGCCGCTTCTGTGAAAGTGCTGGCCGACAACAAGTTGGTGATCAAGCAGGAATACATGAAAATCTTTCTAAAGCTGATGAAGGAAGTAGGTCCTCAGCAGGTACTTTGTTTGCTCCTGGAAAATCTTAAGCATAAGCATTCCAGAGTAAGAGAGGAAGTAGTGAACATTTGCATCTGTTCCCTCCTGACCTATCCCAGTGAGGATTTCGACTTAGCCAAACTGTCTTTTGATCTTGCTCCAGCTCTGGTAGATAGCAAACGCAGGGTACGCCAGGCAGCTCTGGAAGCCTTTGCTGTTTTGGCTTCGTCAATGGGCTCAGGTAAAACCAATGTCCTTTTTAAAGCTGTAGATACTGTTGAACTGCAAGATAATGGGGATGGTGTGATGAATGCTGTGCAGGCCAGATTGGCCAGAAAAACTCTACCACGGCTAACAGAACAGGGGTTTGTGGAGTATGCAATACTCATGCCATCTTCTGCCCAGGGGAGGTCAAGCCATTTGGCACATGGAGCAGATACAGACTGGCTTATGTCTGGTAACAGAACTCAGAGTGCACACTGTTACTGTGGCGACCACACGAGGGACAGCATGCAGCTGTATGGCTCCTACAGTCCAACGATCTGTACCCGAAGGGTATTAAGTGCTGGAAAAGGGAAAAACAAATTACCCTGGGAAAATGAGCAGCCTGGAGTCATTGGAGAAAACCAGACCTCCAGTTCCAAGGACACTAAAGATTCAGAGCAGGTATGCTGAATTTTCTTGAGTTGAAAATGAAATAATTTACAAAGAAAATTTTGAATTAAGTGCTATGTGGACATCCATTATAACGGTACGGGATATGTAAGGTCATTTAATAGGGTTCCTTCTTGATTAAATTTGAGGTACAATGTGATACGGACAATAAATGGGTTTCAATTCTGGCTTATTTGTTTTCATCATATCACTCATCTCAATCATACAACAAACAGCCAATACCTAGTAGGTACCAGATAAAGAATTAATTCCAGTTCCAAGTGGCTTCTGGAGAAAGTTACAAATGGGCAGTTAACCTGTGTGTTCAGTGCTAGAATAGAAATCGAGTGCTGAGGAACAATACCAGGCTAGGAAAAGTAACTCCACTAGAGCAAATCCCAAAGCCTCCAAGGTTCTGATCTTTGAACTTAGATTCCTGTCCCTGAAAAGCTTTTAGTTTAAAATTTACAAGTCTGCATGTAAATTAGTACTCATGTGCCTCATCTGTATTTGCCTGTTAACATCTTGCAATATTTGCTCCATATTTTATGAACCATTTGATAGTAAATAGCACATATTTTGGATTTCATTCCTTAATTTTTTGACATATGTCTCCTAAAATAAGTTACCTTATAACTATATTGGCGTGCTTTGGAATACTAATAGTAATTGAATAGTATATAGCTTTTATTTAAATTTCTCCATTTGTTCCCAAACTGTGTTTTATGTTTTTTGCTTTACTTTTATCATCTAAGATCCAGTCATGGTAGTTGTAGCTATTGTCTTTTTATCTACTATTATGTCCCTACTTGTTTGTGAGTTTGTATGTTTTTTCATGGCAGGCCCCCTTTCCTCTTGAAGGCTAGGGTAATTGTGAATTTATCTGATTGTTTCTGTATGATTAGACTGAAGATAAAATTCTTAGCATATATTACCTAAGTAATGGATACAGCACATTGTTGTCCTACCTTGAGTAAACCACTGACAACAAGATACATTATAAAGATTCTTTACTATGGATGTTACATTGAAACCCTACAAATACCTCAACAATGTTTTTGACATCAGGTGAGTATTTTTACTTGTATCAGTTATTATATTGGTGGCTACAAAGAGTATAGAGGCAAAAAACATTTCGTCTATATTTGTTGCTTAAAATTCTTTTCTATATGTAATTATTATATTTGTCTTTAATTTTTGCTCCTTAAAATCAAGTTTGTTTGTCTGTTTGTTTGTTTGTTTTTCCCCCAAGACATTGTTTCTCTGTGTAACAGTCCTAGCTGACCTGGAACTTGCTTTGTAGACCAGGCTGGCCTGGAACTCACAGAGATCCGCCTGCCTCTGCCTCCCGAGTGCTGGGATCAAAGGCTTGTGCCACCACTGCCTGGCTTTTTTTTTTTTTTTTTAAGATTTATTTCTGTTTATGTGTCTGTGTGAGTATGCCTGTGTGTGTGTGTGTGTCCAAACCTGCGAAAGCCAGAGAGGGTGTCAGATTTGGTAGAGCTAGAGGAATTGTAGAATTCTGTGACTGGCCCTGTGTAGGTGCTGGGGACCAAATTCTGTCCTTTTTAGAACAGCAAGAGCCCTGAACTGCTGAACATTCTTTCCAGTCCCAAACTGTTGGTTTTCTTTTTTTTTTTTTCATTTATTTATAATTCAAATTTTTACTGAAAATAGATTTTTCATGTAATATATTCTGATCATAGTTTCTCCTCCAACTCCTCCTGGATCCTCCTCACCTCCCCACCCATCCAGATCTCCAGTCTTTCTTGCATTAGGAGATAAACAGGCAACTAAAAAACAAATGACAATCCAGAATAGGAAAAAATAAACAGGGGGGGAAAAGAGCTGAAGAAAAAGCACAAGAAACACTCAGACACACAGAAATCCCATAAAAACACAAAATCAGAAACATAACATATAAGCAAAATATCTGTAAGGTTTTTTTAAAAAAAAAAAAAAAAAAGGGACAAAAACTCTCCAAAACTACATTTAGTTCATTTAGTGTTGGCCATCAAATTAAGTTTTTTGATACTAAATTACATGTTTGACCAATGGCTGGCTTCTGTGATCTTTAAGCATGACTAGTGTTTGAGTATTTCCTTAAGCTACAGTAGTAAGACTTAGCTGATATTTTTCTTGTTTCACACTGGGATCAGCTGGGGTTTTTTTTGGTTTTTTGTTTTGTTTTATTTCCTATAGGATCCTAATATTGGCAATATAGTAGAGTAATATTTTAAAATCAATTTCTGTTTTTACTCATTGCTAATTCTTGCTGTTGCAGATCATCCCTTGCAGTGGACAGAACCAAGAAGATCTTTTTAAAAATAAGTTCCTATGAGTAATTCCAGTTGAATTGGGCAATGCAGGTTCTTTGCCATTTTCTTTTATTCCATATTTGGTCTCCTTTCTTTTGTAACAAAAGCCTAGCTTCCAACATCATTGTAGATAAAGTTCAAAGTTTCTTTGTAGTTCTTTTTGTTTTTGTTTTTTTCCCCTGTGACAGAG